TGACGCTGTCCAATGGAAACGTTTCTCCCCTTTCTGAAGGAACCAGTCCAGTTTGCGGCGTGAAGGGGGGTGGGGGCGAAGGCTGCGCTAGCTCGCCCCAGAGGGTTCGTTAAAGGAAGCAGCAGAAAGGTCAGGCCTGAGCTGTCAATTCTCCAGTTCAGAAATAGATTCAAGATTTTGACTCTTCACCCTGATTCGAGAGGGGAGGGTGGGAATAAAAAGTCAAACAGCGGGAGAGCTGTTTCCGACTCCGCTTGGGTTACATCCCAAACCACGGACTTGTTTCTGATTCCTAATCGGCACCGTCCCCGGCCCAGACTGCTCTGGGGCGCGTGGGCAAAACCCAGCCCTCCTGCGGGCTGTGCTCATTGCTCTGACGACGCTACTTCCCGTGCATTTCCAGAACATTTCTGTAGGCTCGCTCGTTGCATTCCTTGCCCGCAGTTCCAACCAGCTCTCCGCTCCGGGGCTCGCAACCCTCGTCGCTGCAGCAGACCTAAGCAGCTGACCCACAGGAAGTCTCCCCCAGCTTCCCTCCACGGCCGGGACCACGCTCTGCTGTTTGGAGTCCAACCCCCTGCTTGGGTCCCATCCAATCTGAATGGACGTTTCAGATTCCCGTCCTGCTTCCCAACGTCGCGCCCACGGGCTTGCTTGGTGCTCGCCTCCTCCCCACAGCTCAGCCCCCTGCAAAGCCACATCCTCCTCCGGGTGTGAGGGGGCTCCCTTGGGCCCGCAGGTGCTGGAGGGCTTTGTGCTACAGCCAGCGCCCTGAGCGGGTGGAGACCGGAGGGACGTGCCAAGCCCCGTGCTAAGAGAGGTCGGCAGGGCCGCCCTGCAAGGGGAAGGGGCAGGCTTGGTGAGCGAGGTGGAGGAACTCAGATGGTTGGATGTTACCAGGCTTTCGGAAGGAGCCCCACTGACGTCATTCTGAGCGGAGCGTGATTTTGATCATCGTACCAGCAGGTCATGTGTCCCCACAGGCGAACAGAGAGGCTGAGAGAACCGTAAACATCTGGGGGAGGAGGATCCATTCCTTGCTCTTGTCTGCACAACGCCTGACAGGGAGACACCTCGGATTCTTTTCCAACTGTCGCTCTGCCTCCCAAGTGGTCAGACGTCCATGGAGCGGCCAGATCAGATTAAACAAAAGTTTCAAAGAGCATAGGAGTTGCTCAGGGTGTCGCTCAGGAAACCCGTGGGCCTAGATTGTGGGGACCGCATTCGTGTCAAACTGGACGATGACACGGGACGGACACGCGCAGCCGGACACCTCGGATTCTTTTCCAACTGTCGCTCTGCCTCCCAAGTGGTCAGACGTCCATGGAGCGGCCAGATCAGATTAAACAAAAGTTTCAAAGAGCATAGGAGTTGCTCAGGGTGTCGCTCAGGAAACCCGTGGGCCTAGATTGTGGGGACCGCATTCGTGTCAAACTGGACGATGACACGGGACGGACACGCGCAGCCGTCCAGGGAAAATTCAGCATCCAGATCAACCACCATCAAGACCAACCGTGGCGAGCCCAGCAGAAGCTGAAAGAAGAACTCAAAGAGCAAAGCGCAGAGAGGGCGAGTCATGAGAAGACGACAAAGCCAGCATGCCCAGCCGACCACTGGGCAACCGAGGCGTTCTGCGTTTGGGTGACGTCGTTAGAAGACCAGTACGACTTAGGCACCCAACAGACTGGTCCGTACTGAAGCTAGAACCAGCCGCATGTGCATGGTAGGAATATTGGGGGGGGAGAGGGGCTGCGAATGTGTATTACTCTGTTCCACCACCAGTGGTGCGGGGTTCACCCTACCGGTATCTAAACGAACCACAGCCTGGAGGAGCCTCTGAAGAGCACATCTCGGGGCACAGGCAAGTGCCGGGCACAGCCCCCAGCTGGCAGAGGAGTGGGACCCCCCGGTGGTGGGTTGAAGATGCAGAGCGGAGATTCCACAGGGCTGCGGACGAGACCTGAATGTGGATCTCCACGGCAGGAAAGAGCGGGAGTGAGCCGCCAGCCTATCCCCACCCCCCTCC